GTTGATCCATCCCTTACACCTTAACCCACCCTTAAACCTACCCATAGCAACAAACCTGTCCCTAACCTTACCCGTATCCCACCTCAATAGCAGCAAAAGTGTTTTGCAATACAATATGAACACAATAAGTACATTGTACTTAATTTTTGATGTAAGTACATAGTAGTTAAGGCCACTTAATATAAAGTGGGGCCCAATAAAGATATGAACCTCGAGTGAACTACACTATTTGTGTCTGTGTCATTCTTGGTCCCGGGTACCCGCTTTCTGTGCTCATCGCTTTCCATCGCCCAACCAGATTAGATCTTCTCATATACTTTATTTTAACATGTGTCTAAAATGTAACACAATATACTCCTTGTTTGTTAAACTGTTGTATAAAATCAAAATCACATTTGCAATCATGCAGATATTTGGGAAAAAATGCATTCTTGCTCGTGTGATATTGATAAACTATATCATATGATATAAATATAAAACATTTTTGCCCTCATATCTTGAATTTTATGGGCATATTAACTGCATTCTAATAGGACACACCACACAGTCAGTCGTCCTGCATCATGTTTGTCAGCAACTGCACGCAATGTAAGATGACTCAATCACACCAAATTAATGTCTTAAATCAACAGCCCTATTGACAAACATTATACGTCCTCTTTTCCCCAGACATGTCCTTGCCAGGACTTCTAAATTGCCCAAAATGTCCAGATTTTGGCTTTGTTATCTTATTGAAGTGCTCTTTACAGTCCTCATATATTATATGTATGTATATTTGCATTGTTTTGACCGTTCTCTGTAGATCCCATCTTCTTGCACACCATGACTGATTGATTATGTAATGTAAGAATAAAAATCTGCTTTCAGTTCTCAGTTAAATAGCAAAGTACTGGCTGTGTGTTTTGTGCATACTGCTAGCCCCCCCAATTACAACTCCAATACATATTTAATCAAGTTATTAATCAGTAAATAATTAGATTTAATTATTGATTGAATGATGTTTGACTTGTTAGTTAAAATAACTTTAATCCACACTAGTATTCTAACACATGGTAAACACATTTGTACTTCCCAGGACCCTCTTAACAAGCCAAGGTACCAGGGGAAAAGAAGGGTCTCAAGTAAACATGGCCAACTAATAATTAGGCTTATACTTGTTCTTCCTTTCAAACATTAAAGAATAAAAGTTGAATTTTGCCTAAACCTCTCTCTCTGCAACCAGTATCTGTCTGTTTGGGGGATAGTACCTGATAAGAATAAGAGCCTAGCTACTCAACCTTGAAGCAGATAAGTGTTTTGTCTGTGTATGTGCATTTGTGCAACTATTTTCTTCAGTAAATTTTTCTTCAATTGATTGCATCTCTGGCGTCTAGTACATACCCTCGCTGAGCAATAAACCTCTGAAGAAGCTTGAACAAAACTCGTGTCTGTGCTCGTTTCTTCCCATGGCTATGTATTCCCAATCGAGGGGCAACTGAGAGCACCAGGCCAAAAATGCTGACCATTTCTGGATTATATGACAAATAATGGCTGCACACAACTATTTTTCTCTCATTACCTTGAGCAACTATGAAAACAATAGGAAAACAAAGCCAAAAGCCAGATGTTTAAGGCAATTTAAAAATCCCAGCCAGGACATGTCCAGGAAAAAAAGGAAGTACTGTCACCTTAATTATACACTACAAATAATATTAGGCATAATAATAAAGCTTAATATTTTAGACTTCACTTTAGAGCCATCTTTTATGAAGAATGCTGTATTAATCAGATTGTTTTGTGTACAATGTTCCTTTGCATCCACTGATGGGAATTCCTTGATGCAGTGTGAAATGTCTTCTTTAAAAATATGCACAGAAATTGTGAGAAAACTAAAATTAAACCCACCTTAAACCCACACTAAAGGTATATCTGGAACTCATTTCTAAAAAGTTTAGTTTAAATATAATATACTAAAATGTTACATTTACTATAGTGAATATTATACATAATATACTATATTAGAATATAATTAGTAGTTATTAGAAATAAGACAGAAAGCGAATGCAACTACCACAGTTTACAATGGCAGAATATTACACTAGAAAGGCAGAAATAAGCAGTAGGCTGGGGATAGAGTTGATTCCTATTTTATGTTTTATGTCGAAATCCAAAATGGTGAAATGTACTTTGCATGTCTAGGAAGGTCAAAAGTGCATCTAACAACAATGAAGGAAGTGGAACAAGCGTATGCTATAACTAGATCTGTCTTATGCTTAAGACATCTACCTAGTCTGTGCAATCATGACATTTTTAATTATAAATATGTGTGCAACTTTTTGTTCACTGCTTCCATGACTCCTAGACATTTCTCCAATAAAGTATGTGTTAGAAAACACTCTCTGTCTTGTTAAGGTTCCAGATGTTTTCACCCTCCTTTTTCTCCCTCTCTCTGCTCTCTCTTGTATTAGATCTCTTACTCACATTCGAGGTATGCATGCGCAAATGTATACATTAGCTTCTCTTGATTCAAATGTCCAAATAAGGACATGATAGCTAGGAATGAGGTTCGTGATGAAACCATGAAGATAGTTTAGCATCCTTCGCAAAAGTCTATTCCTAATATGTCCATGTTTTTCTGTTCATATGGCCATTTTATATAAACACATGTTCTTGGCCAAAGATCCTATATGTGTATGTCATCTATATCCTCATTGGTTAAAGGGTTGAAACTCCCCTCGACATATGCCTATATAATATCTTTGTATCTATGAATAAAGTTGAAGTATTGAGAATACATATGAATGTGTGTTTTCTTACTTCCCGGCCGTTATATCCACTTTGAGGGATTGAGAATATCTGAGGTGGCAAAGAGAATCTAGAGGGACCGTTGTTAATGATTTCTAACAAATGGGGGCTCGTCCTTCCGGGAATTTCTAAAAAAAGACAGGTAAGAATGTTTTATTTTTCTTCCTGTCTGTAAGAGAAATTGAATTTATTCTCGTTTGCAATTTGATTGTGTCATATTTGGCATCAATCTGTTTTCCTCACATTTTTGGCATGTGGGAAGAAGAGTGAGAAGCTTTCCGTTTAACCTTAGGAATGAGGTTCGTGATGAAAAAATGAAGATAATTTAGCATCCTTCGCAAAAGTCTATTCCTAATATGTCCATGTTTTTCTGTTCATATGGCCATTTTATATAAACACATGTTCTTGGCCAAAGATCCTATATGTGTATGTTATTCATATCCTCATTGGTTAAGAGGGTGAAACTCCCCTCGACATATGCCTATATAATATCTTTGTATCTATGAATAAATTGAAGTATTGAGAAGACCATTGAATGTGTGTTTTCTTGCTTCCCGGCCGTATATCTACACTTTAAGGGACTGAGAAAATTTCACGGTGGCAAAGAGAATTTACAGAGGGACCAATTGTTATTTTTATTAACAGTATGTTTTAACCAAGCACCTTTAGTCACATAAAAGTTTGTGAAAATTGCTATTGCAGTCCCTTACATGTTCATTTTTTTCCAGCACTATGATCATACAGACGCTCACCTCTCCTGTCTCTGTAGGTAATGTCTGATGAACTGTGGGAGCTCAGTCTGTAGATTAAAGGTTTCAGGGAGCCACGGAGCCCCCAGACCTCCCCTGGCTCTCTGTGCCACAGATGCCAGGCAGTCTTTAGTGGTCAGCACCGTCTCACAGGGGAACTGGTTGAGCAGGACATGAGGCCGTTCCTCAGTTTTCTAAAAGTAAATGAATCAGTTGAGCAAACAAAATCACTGAAGTAAAACAAGAAATAGCCTAAGTGTGCGTGAGCGTAAACATGCTCACCGATAATCTCGGATATGGGAGAAGGCCCAGATTATGTCAGCTTGTTCCTCATTTTCGGTGAACTGGAAACGTGGATGTTTCAGATGGTCTAAAACCTGCTTCATCTCAGTGTAGACCCTGATTTGTGTACACAGGAAATGGCAACCAAGTGAATAATACACAAACATAGTGAATAAGAAACGCTTAATGCATTTTCCACATGTTTCATTCAAATGGTTTATATATTTTCTATAGCATGTGTGAATGTACTATTCTAGCTGGAATCTAAACACTTTGTCAAGAATATGCATGAGCATAAGAATTTTCCATCTGCTCTACGGCCTCTAAAATGTGCAGGACAGCTGGCTCTACCCCAGATATTCTAGGCTGCAAATATTACATAAGTAGCAAGCATTAAACCACAAGTTGCACGAACCAGAGTGTGATAGAGAAAGCAACCACAGAGTAAATGATACACACCACATAAGAGTGTGTGTTAAGCAGTAAAGTGATTGTTGTGGTTGACTGAGGGTAAAGTGATTATTTCATGCTTACTTCCAAATTCTGTGCTTTACATTTTTGGTGCCATCCAGTATACTTGCTTGTCCATCCAAGTGCAAAATCTCTGTTTTTTATCTAAATACTTGACAGCTTTGAAGATTTTTTTTAAACCTCTCCAGCCTTGGAGGAGGAAGAATGTTTATGTCTAGATGGAGAACACAAACTGCTGACTTTTTGACCCAAGATTTACAGATATTCTATTAGGGGCTGTAAATTATTGCATACACGGACATGTTCCAGACCTTCAATTACACCTCTAAACACACACACACACACACACATTTGTGAATTGTGGGGACTTTCCATAGACTTCTGTTACTTTTATACTGACCAAACGATATTTTATATCCCCTAACCCTAAACCTACCCCTTACAGAAAACCTGTCTGCATTGTTACACTTTCAGATAAACATCATTTACTATTTTTAAGATTTTTTCCCCCTCGTGGGGACCACAGGCCGGTCCCCACAATGTCAAAAAATTCAGGTTTTACTATCCTTGTGGGGACATTTGGTCCTTACAATGTAGCATAAACAAGTACACACACACTAACCCTAAAAGAAAATATTTAGCATTTTTAAAGTATGTAAATTTAAAATAAATAAAATAAATTATTGAATGTTTTTGTCCAACTGAGGACATTCCTAAATGTCACCAGGGAAGTTTAGACAGAATTAGCTCATTTTAGGGGCAATTTTGTCCTCAACACACACAGACTGTTTTTTTTGTTGTTGCTATATTCAACCTTTTATAAAGAGAACATATCTATTTCTAATTTCTGGAACTTAAGTCAAACTAACAAAATTATACAAAAAAAATCTAAATTATACAAAAAGCATGAAATATGAATGATTAAAATGACTGAAATATGAATGATTAATGATTAAAATGTGAATAAAAATTATTATAGATATTTGGATTTTTGACACAGAACAGAAACTATTTTTTTAAAGGTTGACTTTAGGAAGAAAAACTTTAAAGTTGCAAATAAGACATAAATGATAACTCAAAATTTAACACAATGACTTACTTCAGCACTTTTCCATCTGGTACACACAGTAAGGCTGGATGTCTATAGGAAGCTTCTCTTTGTTCTCCTGCAGAATTGTCTGGAAAAGTGCAGTGATGTAGAAAGAAAATGGCACTTAATGATTTTACTGAATCAAAATGTTGTCCATGCATTTTAATACATGCCAACAACCAATAAGATTCCACATAGACACCCATTTCCAAAGCAAACAACATTTTAAGAATAATTAAATTCACTCACTTCATAGTAAAGGTCAGACGGTTCTTGGACGTCATCGCTCACGGCCTCAAGCTCATCAGGCAGCCATGGTAACAGGCGGCATCTCCTCACCAAAGAGTCTGTTTCACCATATGCAAAATCACACGTCACCTCATCTGAGAAATGTTAAAACTCTCATTAAATCAAAAACATCAATTTGAATAAAACCACTTTATACTGTTTACTAACAAACATTACTACACTATATAATGCTTGAAGAATCATTAGTTAATGTACTTTCAAACAGAAACATAACTTTGACTGACATTTTCATATATGTGTGATGAGCCTTACATAATACTTGTTAACCCTATAAAGCCAACTGTATCATATTTTACATGCAAAATTGTGTTTCTGCAGACATGAGTTAATGCATGATCTCATATCAAGGGTGTCAAAACCACAAGAACCTACAGTATTTGCTCAGAAAATTATCACCTCCAACTGTTCAAAAGGGAACCCATTTCTGCCATGGGATAAAAAAAGGGTAATTGTGATTTTTTTTTTAACACAATCCTGACTTTCTCACAATTCTGTTTTTTTCTGCCACAGAATAAAAAATAAAAGGCAACTGCAACATTTTCTCTCATAATTCTAACTTTTTTTTCTCACAATTGCGAGTTTTCTCAGAATTGTGAGACATAAACATGATGACACAGAGTGGTGAGCAAGTTCAAACATAGGTCAGAGGAGCACCAAAGAGACGTTCCCTCTCTATCTTGGGCTTGTAGATAAAAACTAACTATTCCTTACTAGAATTCAACATTCTGCAGTTCCCAGGGCCCTGCTGGTTACTTTCTCTTTTTAACTAAATACCATAACCAGTGCATTAACAATACATTGTTATTATTATCAATATTCTCAGCTTTATTAAAAATTCAGTCACTTCTTATTTTACAAAAATATGTTATTCCTTATACAATAAACTGATCTTTGATATCATTTTCTCATCTGGCGAGATCTATCTGCATCTAAGTATCGGGATTTTGCGATACTATTATAAAGATCTCATTGATTTACTTTTACAAAAGATTTTATCTTACTTTGTGGCCATTATCATATATGCCAGGCTTCAGAGAGTTAAGGACTTATCAGGATCAAATGAACACACTAACTGCTATGTGATAAGTAGCCAAGCAGTAAACGATTTGCGAGATGGTGTGAACGATAACCTCCTTTGTTTTCTGTGGGGTGTAAGACCTAGAGCCCTAGAGACTGCAAATTGTCTTTCAAATGATAAAGGTCCTGTTAACATCTGATATTAACACCTGTCTTAGGTTGCCACTTGAATTTTTGACTGCTAGACCTAATGGAGCATCTTTGGTCTGTCTTTTATCATCATGCACAGACATGTGAAAAAAGCTCATTTCCATGTGGGATGCAGCCTGTGGTGTAATCCCCTTTGTTCCATGTGGAGCATTAAGGGCAGATAGATAAGAATCTATTTGCTCTTGTCATTCAAGACATAAAAAGAATGAGGTGTAGTATCTGTTCTTTAAAGCATGCAGTGATTAAACATACAGTTATCTGCCTATTGAAGATGTAAAAAAAACTTGACAAGTGATCAAAAGGAGATTGTTTTCTTATTCATTGTATCGTTTAAAAACAACCAGATTTATCATTCCTGCATCAACTTATAACTGAAAGCCTGTAATGTACACTAACCTTTAAAAGCGTGGGGTCACATTCTTTTTAAAAGTAATTATTAATTTTTTCTTCGAGAATGCATTAAATTGATCAAAAAGTGACAGTAAAGTTATTTATAATGTTACAAAAAATTCCATTTCAAATGTTCTATTCAAAGAATCCTGAAAAATACATCACTGTTTCCACAAAAATCACTGTTGTTTACATTGATAATCATGATAATATTTTAGAACAAAGAAAACAGCTATTTTAAATGGTAATAACATTCCATAATATTTCAATTATGATTGTATATTTTAAACAAATACATGCAGCCATGGTGAGCACTAAGAAAAAAAAAATCAACTCCACACTTTTAAACAGTATAGTGTGCAGGACCTTACATAAAATCAGGATGTGGTGAGATTTTCAGAACTATACCAAAGCAAACAAAGCAAGAAGCAGAATTTCACAAGAGGCCCAATTCAACACTCCAGGACCATAAAATAAGAGATCCTGTCAATGTGGAACCAGCAAGTCTGATTTAACTTGTTACTCCTCCATGGACTATTGTATGAGTTAGGAAAGCCCCATCCGGCACAACCAACTCTAAGCAGTTAACTCAAGATAAATGGGCCAGAAGATGGCACATTCCAGCTATCACATGAAGAATCATGACTGAAGTCAAATGCGGGAGATTGCTCTCCCAAGACTTAGAGCTAAAAAACAGACTCCCTTTTGAGACCTTTTGACCTCTTCCTCAAACACAAGTCTCAAATCCTCTTCAAACTACTTTCTAAATGGCACAGAGACTGCCTTTACATAACAAAATACATTAGATCATTCCAAAACGAAATATCACTCTGTTGCATAATTCAATATTATATCTGTAACCACCATGTTTGCCTATTATGAATCCTAACCAGTCTAGTCTCACTTCTTTTCTTTTCCACTGAAAGTTTCATACAAGTTTTCATTCCGATATGGAATATTATATTTATTCAGAATGTAATCACAATCACAAAATCAACATATGTATAACGTTCATGTCATTAATAAAAGTAATAACACAAAGCCATGAAGAATGTTGGGAATACCCCACCTGGTGGTTGAGAAAATAATGTATATAAGATGTATGCAGACAACTGATTTTTTAATATGGATTTGTTTTTATGTTAAAAAAACCTGCTTGGTTTCTTCAGAAAATGCACGACTGGCTTCCCAAAACATCTTTCCAGGCCTCCAAGGAATGTGCGAACTTGGGAAACCCCTTTCAGAGAATCATGCAGCAGAAGGGAAGGGAATCCCCATTCAAAGCACACAATACCTCAATATTTTTCATAGCCTCACTGAAAACTCATGCAAGGATTAAATGAATGATTGAGGTCAGTGATTTTGTCAAAATTCCCTATGAATACAATTATTAACTCCATTTGACCTGTCTCGCTTACAGTGGCACATCAGTAAAAAATATTAAAATGATCATAAATGATAATTTTTTTTTTGATTTATAATGACTTGTGGCTGCAGAAATAAAGAATGGTCATACTTTTGTGTCCCTGGAATAAAATTTGGATCTCAATGAATGGGAAACCACTGACAGAAGTTAATATTAGAATAATATAAGAC